CTTCCTGTAAAGAGCATCAGTGTTGTGGCTCCAGTCCAGTTTATTATTCAGGTGAACACCCAGGTACCTATAAGAGTCACTATCTCAATGTCCACTCCCTGGATGTTCACCGGTGTCAGTGTGGTGGGTCTGCGTCTCCGGAAGTCCACCACCAACTCCTTGGTTTTCCCGGCGTTGATCAGCAGGTGGTTCTGCTGACACCAGTCAACAAAGTCCAGAGTGGCAAGGGCCATATGAGATCCAAAAGAAACTTGGACAAACAACCTATAAGGTCGCCATTCGAGATCAGCCCCGTTCCAGCAGAGTACCGCACATTAACCTGCTTAAGGAATGGGTGGAGAGACCAAAAGCAGATGTCTTTCTGATCCGGGAGGTTTCGGAGGAGGAGGAAGTGGATGATCAGTATCTGCCAAAACCAACTCCTCAGGACCTGGATCTCAACCACCTTCCTGAGGAAAGACAGGCTCAGGTGAGAAACCTGTGTAAATTAGATGTGTTCAGTGAAAATCCTGGTAGAACGGACATTGTGGAACATGACGTTGTGTTGAAAGATGGCGCTTCTGTGAGGAGAATGAGTTACAGGATACCTGAGCGTCTATTGATCCCGTTGAAAGAGGAGATCGACCTGATGTTGTCACTAGGAATCATTGAAGCCTCGAAGAGCGAGTGGTGCCACCCGGTGGTCCTGGTGCCAAGGAAGGATGGCGGTATTCGTTTCTGCATAGACTTCAGGTACCTGAATGCAATATCACAGTTTGATTCATATCATGTCTGATTTTGCTGCAGCCTACCTTGATGACATAGTGATTTTCAGTTCTACCTGGGAAGAACACCTGCAACATCTGGGGAAGGTATTGGGACGTCTTCAGTCTGCAGGGTTGACTGTTAATCCAGCTAAGTGTGCCATTGCCAAGGCTGAAACTGAGTACCTTGGGTTTGTGATTGGAAATGGAGTAATAAAACCTCAAGGCGATAAGGTCACCACCATAGAATCCTGTCCCTTGCTAGAGACCAGAAAACAGATGAGATCGTTTTTGGGTATGGCAGGATTCTATCATTGGTTTATCCCTCATTTCCCTGCCGGGGCAGCTGTTCTGACGGATCTGACTGGTGCCCGAAGTCCCAATAAGATCACCTGGACAGAGGAGGTTAAGATGGCTTTTCAGGACCTACGACAATCTCTGAGTAAGAGCCCAGTCTTGCACAGCCCTGATTTTGAGAGACATTTCATTCTTCAGACTGATGCCTCAGAGAGAGGATTGGGAGCTGTTCTGTTAAAGGGACCGCCTGGAGAGCGTCATCCAGTGGCCTTCATCAGCTGCAAGCTGTTTCCGAGGGAAGTGGACTCCCTGGACTCCTTTAAGTATTATCTTCTCGGACGGGAGTTCATACTGGAAACGGACCACAAGGCTTTTCAATGGATAGAGAGAATGAAGGACACAAATGGAAGGATCACGCGATGGTACCTTGCAATCCAGCCATTCCGGTTCACCATCAACCACATCCCCGACAAGGATAACTGCACTGCAGACTCTCTCTGGCTGTCCCAGGGAGAGACCTGAAGAGGAGGCGTGTGTGATGGCTGCCCTTACAGCCACACAGTGATTATTTTCTGTTATTTTGACCTCTTTTATGGGCCCAAGATTTTGATTCTTTTTGCATGATTTAACCAATTATGTTTTTGGGTTAAATGGGGGGGAAAAAAAAAATCTTTTTTTTGGACTTTAACCTGTGCCTAAGTTTCCTTCGCTGCTCGGTCCATCACAAGTGGCATGTAATGAAACAGCAGTGACTCAAATGAACCCTTGCTGGTCAGCTTTCTCTTTAGTCCTACTCTCCAGTAATTGTGTGCAAAATGCTTCTGCTGTTTTATTTAATGACTCTGTGTCCTTCAACATGACTGACACAAGGTCAGGATCCTAGATCGTGGAAAAGAAAAATGCCGTCTCTGGACAGCTCTACTTTTTCTTCCTTTCAAGTCAGACTGAAGGCAGATTGCAGTGACTCACACCACATCTTTTTAGAAACTTAGCAGCCTACTGCCAGGAGACATGGCTGCAACACAAAGGTCTGATATGCCAAAATGTATACTTTTTCACAGCCAGGTCATAATTGTTATTCATGTCGTATTCGTGTGTTTTTTATTTTTTATGATATCACATTTGGACCTTTAATCTGTACAGGACTGCTCTCGTAACCTTTAGGTTCAGCACAAAGAAGCGTGCCTCTAAACGTCTGAACTGAAATGTTTTGTTGTCTGACGCATGGAGACAAATGCAGCTGTCAATATCACAAGTCTGTTCCTACTGCTGCACGGGATTAACTGCCTTGCTCAAGATCACCTTTTAAATCTGTAGTGGAATGATACTGTATTTCACAAAAGTGCTTTCTTATTTGTGTATTTTAGATCTCAGGTCCAATAAAGCTGTGGGCTCCGACTAACCTTTGACCCCCATTTCTCCTACATTTTTATTTTATTTTTTTGTCTGTGTGCTATGATAATTAAATAACTGAACTGTTCAGGAAGAGACACACATTAAATAACCATTTTACAGAGCCACCATAGAGAGCATCCTAACGTACGGCATAACAACATGGTATGCAGGGTGCTCAGCTGCAGACAGGAAAGTACTGCAGAGGGTCATCAACACAGCCCAGAAGATCACTGGCTGCTCTCTGCCCAGCCTGGAGGTCACTGCAAACTCTCGGTACCTCAGCAGAGCTGGCAATATCATCAAGGACCACTCTCACCCCAGCAACCAACTGTTTGAACTATTACCGTCAGGCCGACGGTACAGGTCACATAAAACCAGGACAAACAGATTCAGGGATAGCTTCTTTCCCAGAGCTATCACCGTAGTAAATAAGCACAAAAACAATTGAACCTATTCCATACTGTCACTGTCATTATATTATGCTGCTATTCATACTGTCATTATATTAATGCTGCTATCCTGTATATATTGTACATACTATTGTTTGAGTACTTACGATTGGTTTTTTTTTTTGTACTTTTTATATTTTACATTTATATTTATTATTGAAACTTGCACCAAGGGAGTGGCACTCCAATTTCGTTGTACTCTGTACAATGACAATAAAGGCTATTCTATTCTATTCTATTCTATTCTATTCTAATGAACTAACAAACTAGATAAATAGAAATATTCGTTTTTATATTGTTTTCATTTGAACAATTATTTCAATAATAACATGATTGTGTTTTTCATTGAAAGGGTTGTTAAAATTCTATTTTTGTAGAGTTGGGATGAGCAAGGAAATTTCCCTTTAAAGTAAGAAAACATGGATTATGTTATGTCCTTGTTTGCAGAAGAACACTGTTACTGGCAAAGTGAAAAACAAAGAAAACAAAACTGAAGATTTCAGGGGAGAAAACATTACGCTTTTCATTTTACATTTTCACAAATCTGCATTTTTTTTCTTAATTTATATTTCAGTAGCTCATTTATAGTTTCCACAGATTATTATTGTAGAGACTTTACAGGACAATTTAAAGCACCATGAGGTGACTGTGATTTAGTGCTATACAGATAAAACTGACGATAAATCAAGAAACACTGTTCTGTGGTATGACTCCGGGGCTCTACATAAGCAAGGAACATCATGCAGATGGCGTCTTCTAATTCGACTTATGTGCCAGACTTTGTAGAAATCCCGTAGTTTTTCCTTTTAAGAGAAGTTCTGGGTACTTCATGAGAGAGGTGAGGTCAATATGAGGTGTGAGTGCAATCCGATCTTTTAGGCACGTAAGTCTGATGAACCTGAGTCCGCATGCACGCACAGGATTCAGCACGCATGGTCTGTCTGCGTTTACCCTCCACTGTTGTGTGGAATGTGTAAAACGTGGACACTGTGGATCAAACTCAGACAAACTGCAGTGTAAATGTTTCGGATTGAAGTTCAGAAAAAACTAGAACCTCTTACTTGCTGCCTGTGCTGAATCTCATCACTGCTGTTAATCAGATTACTGTAATTGCTGCGGGACAGTCTCCCGCTGCTGCCATGTGGGAACCCAGTCTCGATTTTCTGTTTAAAATGCACTCGAATGCCTCCTTGTTGCATGTCACGTGTTTCTGTGCCTGTTTAAAGTATGTGTACAAAAACCCGTGTCTGTATGGTGCAGAGCAGTGCGCTTTCCGTCCGTCTGTCCTCAGCACCATGGAGAGCGCGCTAACATGCGCAGCTGAGTCCGGTCCGGAGAGCTGATTCCCGCTGCTGCCAGAATGTGGAGGGAAAGAAAAAGCTTTATTGTGAACATTAAAGTGAACTCTCTCGGTCCATATAATGAGTAGGAGTGGTCACTGTGGAAGGGGTCGTTGGTAATGGAGAGCACAGGAGGGTGGGAGGGGGCTCTATCTGTTGCACACCGGGCTGATTTTCCTGCGGAGAGAAAGCGTCCAAGAGTGGGCAGACTGAGAGCTGAATCGTGACACTTGGAAAAAGAGAAAAACGCTGAGAAAAGGAGGAGCGACGCCCACCGAGCAGCGTCTGAAGTGAGTGGTGACATCAAATGTGGAGCCTTCAAAATACAAGCAGCTCGTGACACGCACGGTGAACTGAGAAACCCCGACACGAGGAGTAAAAACACACATGTGGGTTTTTCTTTCTTTTCTTTTTTTTCGTCCCAAATCAAAGTGATGAGCATACAGATCGGGAGAGGAGCTTTGGAGCGCGGTGTGCGCAACAGAGCATGAGTGCCACTGCGGACACGGAGTGCGCTGTGAGCAGCTGTGTTTATTCCACGAGTAAAGTGTCTTTTTCCTGCAGCTCCAGCTGCTAAACACATTTACCTTTGAAGGAAACTTTTCGTTCCGATGGAAACTGTTTTGATAGTTATTAGGATTTTTTTTCCATTCCTAAAACAACAACAAGTGTTGAGCTGAGGCGCGGATGAAGCAACAGATACGGAGCCGTGAATCTTTCATGTGCATTGTGTGAGTAACAACTCCAAACTCTCCGCCACTCTCCTTATCCGTGACCCTCCCATCTTAGGGACAACTCAGCACATTTGTGATGAGGATGTCCGCCGCTTGCGAGGAAGATCTGAGGGTTCCGCGGACAGTAAATTGATTGTTTTCTCTGTCTTCCTCTCTCTCCCGTGTGTGGAGAATGGCAGCTAAAAATATCCCGGAGATGTTAGGATGAACAGGTTGTTGTTTAGCTGAAACTTAAAGACCCGCGGGAAGATGCTCGGCTGTAGGACATTTTAATTCTCCTCACAGACAAAGTTCGACTGGAGCAGAAAAGAAAAAGAAAGGATCCGTCAGTGCTGATTTCTGTGGTTCATTCCGACCTACGTAGAGAACAGAGAGCAACAGACGAGCTTGGAAGCAGCTTGTTGATGGCACTGCGCACCGGGAGGACTTGGTTTGGGCAGGTCTTGCGCAGGGTCTCTCGGCTGCAAGGCTCCTGGTCCAGGCGCTCGAGCAGTCTCTTGTGTCTCTCCACTAACCAGGAGCAGGATTTGGGCTTCTGCCACCGGGATCACAACAAGGCGGGGGGCTCCAACTCCGGCGTTCACCGGAGCGCACCTTTCCGCGCCTCCGCCTCCAGGCGCTGTCCACACGGCTATCCCCACGCTTGCTGCGTCTTCCCGGAGAATCCGAGGGGACATGAGCCCCTCGGTCGCCGGTTCCTGTTGGCCATGAAGCGGCAAAACGTGCGGACCCTGTCCCTGATCATTTGCACGTTTACATACCTGCTCGTCGGGGCCGCTGTCTTTGACGCCCTGGAGTCCGACTTCGAGATGCGTGAAAAAGAGCAGCTGGAAGCCGAGGAGAAGCGTCTCCAGGGGAAATATAACATCAGCGAGGATGATTACCGCAAACTGGAGAGCATCATCATGGAGGCTGAGCCCCACAGAGCCGGAGTGCAGTGGAAATTCGCAGGGTCATTTTACTTTGCCATCACGGTGATAACCACCATAGGTAAGCCTAAAGTCTAACATGTGTATAAATCTTTACAGGCTCACTGTGATCTTTGACGAGGACAGTTACATTTTTAGGGCGATAAAGCGGGCTGTCAGCAACAATTAGGGGAGAGCAGGAACATATTTACAGTACACGTCTGTAGGTAAAGTTTTAAGCAACATGTTGCAGCACTCGCTCCCTGCTCCAAAGGGAATTGCGCGGTGCTTTGTGTGTCATCAGCCTCGTGAGATTTAAGCTCCTGAACATCACCTGTAGGTTAAATTACGCGGAAGAATGACGTAGCGTGATGTGCTCGAGTGCACTGTGGAAACATACATCATTTCTTTTCGTGCAGCTGCACAATTTGAACTTTTAACGATGCGTCACCAGGAAAGTCTGACAGAGCAGATCGAGTTCAGGCTGTGAGACACCCCGAGACTGATCCCGAGAGGCCGGAGAGACAAAGCTGTGGCTGGAAGAAGAGCAGCGGGCGGTGTGTTGGTGCTGAAAGAGACAGTTCCTCTGAGTGCAGCCGCAGGCAGGACGAGAGTTCAGCAACTGAAACCTGACGTCACTCCAAGAGATCCTGCTCAGATCCTGCTTTTAAAAAGAAACTGTGTGTTTTGTCCCTGTGGTTATATTTACATTAGGTTTAATGGTTTTCCACAAGAACAAAAAAAGGACAGTGAACACTTTGCTCCAACTTGGCTACAAATAAAGACAGCTGCAGGGCCCGCCTGTGGGCACAAACCATCCCACTTTCCTTCCATTCCTTGCATTTATTTTTATGAGTCTCCTAAAATGCAACATACATCACATCAGTCTGACGCCCCTGGCTCTGACGCATGTGCGTCATAAAGGTTTATTTCAAGCTGGGAAGGAGGGGTAAACAGAGTTTGTCTTTGTTTACGCTCCACCGTCGGAGTGCATTTTAGTAATGCATTTTAGTAATCATACTAACCATAATGTCAGATTGAAGCGACTTGTAATTAATTGCATTAATTGAAATGAACTCAGCAAAATAATAAAATAGAACAAATCCGACCTTTTAATCAGCCCAGATTGGGATTGTAAAAAGTCCGAAACTCGAAAACGAACTTCTTTTTACGCAGAGGTCACAGAGACTCGACATGGTGTTATTCAAGATGATTTTCTTATGGGGAAGAGGACTAATGCACTAGGCTCATAGCTGGCCAGGCAACACCTAAAAGAGACACCAGCACGGCGCAGTGAAGGTGGATCTACTTTTGTTTCCAGGCTACAACGAGAGCCATTGTAATATTCACGTCGGGTGAAGTGGCCACATTTACTGCAGCTCTGTGGGAGACAGCGCTCTTTATGCGTTATCATACTCTTAAGTTCCAATAGTTTAGAGGACAGCCCAACTTTTCTTTCTCTTTTTCCCCCTTTGCAACATGTGAAGGTCTGACCTTTAGTTGACTTCCTGGTGTGACGCGTTAAACTGAGGAAGAGGATGGGATTAGACACACAATTGTTTTGAGTCCACTTGTGCAGGATGGAAATTATATTATTGTATCAGCCTGCAGAAAAGAAAGAGACGAGAAAAGAACACTGTCCAAAAAGTTATTGATTACAAGAGCTTCATTTCATTTTAGAAATGCACCACAAACATAAAGCTGACACAGTCAGGCCGTTCTGCAAAAAGTCGTTAAAATCAGCATTGACTTATAATTGCGGTGCTCTAATGTAAAACACCAGGCGAACAGAGCATTCAGCGGGACTTCAGTTTGATTATTCATTTAAAGGTACATTTAAAAAAAGAAGGATACAGATAAATGTTCCTCTTTTAGACCCCCCCCCCTCCCACCACCTTTTTTTATTTTAAAGGATTAGTTTCGCGTTAGTCTTGTGATGGTTTTGTTGTTTTCACCACGATAAACCACAAAACAACAATAAACTGACCTCACTAACAAGTACTGTATGTGTACTTCACACATTGCCATATATTACTCATTTTTGAATTGGAACGCTTCTTTAAATCAGATTGGATTTATTTGCACTTTAGATGACATATGTAAATATTCTATTCTATTCTATTCTAAATTCATGCAGTACTGTGCAAAAGCTTTTTCATATTTTACAGTTCTACTTTCAAGGGGTCAGACCTTCTTGAATCTTTCTGAAAGTGCTCTTGAGATTAAGTCCTCCAGCCTTTCTGAAGGTCTTTCAAAGTGTTTCTTTTGATTATAAGATGAACACAAGAGACAACTTAGCAAAGTACATAACATGCTCCTGTTTCTTTTGTTGAATCTATAGAAAATGCCAAAGATCACTCAGTTTAAATGGAATACAAAAGTACTTTTGCACTGGAGAAGTGAAGGGCAAAAGAAGAAGCATCAGACCTAAAAATTATCTACAGCAGATGAACAGTGTTTGAAAGTCACGCCCTTAAGAAGCAGAAAAACTAAATGAAAGAGCTGACACAGAACCTGACACATACATCTGGTCCTCCAGTTCATCTACTGTGAACTGGTGGCTGTCAAAAACCCAGGAAGGGCAACAGGGAGAAAAGGGTGATGTCTGCCAAATTACATAAGAACCAAACAGAAAATCAGCTGCAACAGGTCACATGGACTGATGAATCCTAATTTGACGTTGATGATTCAAACCCTCATCAGTATGTAAGCAGGAGGTCACGTACAACAGTGACTTTAAGCATGACAATCATCCCAAACTGCACTACTGGTGTAAAAGCACACCTGGACAGTAAAACACAGGGGAACAGTGTGGACTGGATTGACCTCCACAGAGGATCCACCTCAACATTATTCAAGCACTGTGGGTTTTCTTGAAAGAAAAACAAAAGACAGTCGACATCCAAAGAAGAGCTTTGAAAGTCATTCAAGAGGCCTGGAGAATTATTCTTGAAGGCTACTTAAAGAAATTACAGGAAAACTTGACTGAGAGAGTCGAGGCAGCGTTGAAGAATAAAGATGACCGACTTTCAAGTGCAAGTGAGAATTGCACATTTGCTGTTTTTGTTTTATCTACTGTATCTACATTTATGTTGGCTATAACTCACTGCACCAATTTCCCATTTTTATAGTAAAATATTTTTAAAAATGTAGGTGGAACCAAGACTTTTTTCACAGTACTGCATAATATATATAAATGATTAACATAACTAATATGATATAGTGTATTTACTGGCATGGTACCCTGATATTTACCTTTTTAAAAGAAATTTGTGTCAAATTAATGAAGGTAATTAAAATTTGTTTCCAGGATTTCTAAGGGTCATATATCTGATCTCTCCGTGCCACAGAGCTCCACTCTGGGGTTGGCATGTTAGTGTTTGTTTTTGTGTCAAATATGTCTCAATCCAGAGTTAAAAACGGTCCAAAAACAAATGCACAAATCCATCTGATTTACTGAAAACCACCAAATTTTTTATGTTAGAAATTAGTCATCCACCCAATGATTGAATGCTCCTAAAATGCACATCTGACCTGAAAGCAAACGACTCTGTGCCTTAGAGCACAAGCCTGCAAGATCACCAAACTTTGCTTTTTCATCAAGCAAGAGAGTTCTTCTTCTTCTCTGAGAAAAAACAAAACAAAAAACAACGATGAAGCACAGACTGGACAAAATGGACAAAGACAGTTTTCATTAGATGAAACCGTCACCTGGTCATAGCGAAGTTCAGTGAGTTTGATATGTTCAATACTCTCAATGATATTACAGTAGGTTTTAGTCAGATGGCATTTATTTTCTTGGTGCCTTGGGGACACTGTACAACTGGAAAGTCAAGGCAATCACAGAAAAGTGTCTTGATGTGAGTTTGATATCTTTTTTGGTGATTTTCCAGCCACTTCAGACTTCATAAGGTTTCATCTGACACTCCAAGTAGGTTAAATCTTACTTGTGGGTTGTATTTGACCCAGCCGTTTGTGCCTTTAGGCAGTGGAGCTTTGATTTTTCTTTTCTCTCTCTGATTTGATGAGTTCGCTCAATGATTGGATGGCACACTCAAAAATAACATTCATCTGACAGTGGGAACTTTAATTCTTACACTCCTACCTGTTCTCAGAAATAATGAAACCCGTTTTGTTTTTCCAGTCATTATTTCAGCCGCTAAAAGTGGAAGTAGTTTTGTGTGAAATGAAACTGCTGCAAAGATAAGGGACCAATTTGGGCTGTGTCAACTATGAGCTGTTTGTGGAAGCTAATTAAATTCAGTGTGAACACGAGGGACTATACAAGTGAGGTACAAAGATCTCTATTAAGATATGTGGTACTACACGTTGTTTTTCTTGGTTATGTACATAAACAGGGGTATAAAACACACACTATACACCGAATATCACATGACCGTATCGATAAGACAGGTTACCATCTTACTGTAAAACCTGCCAGCATTCAGCCAAGTACATTCATCATTGGCTCACTATAAATCTTTAAAGATCTTTCTATTAATATCGATGCATACCCCATGAGTCCAACTGCATCACATACTCATTGGTGATAAAGTAAAAGAATCACCCATAAAGTGAAGTGAATAAATATTATATAAAATTATATATTGTATTTACTACATAAATCCCAAAATAATGTAGTAATTTAATTTAGTTTTTTTTTTTTTTAAAGAAAAATCTTGTTTTAAAGGAAAAGAATTACTTCAGTATTGATCATCATTTAGAAAAAAAAGTGTTTTGGTTAACATGAGCGAACAAACAAGCTGTGGGAGGGCCACTGCAAAGAAACCAAAGCAATTAACCTTCTCACTTTGTTTGGATTTTATATTAAAAATAACTTCCTGAGATAAATTGAGATAAATTGCCAATTCCCAGGTTACTGAACCTTTCATAAAACGAAAAAGAGGGAAATTGATTGTATACGTTTTAATTTGTATCATTTTTGTATCAAAAACATATAAGCCTGTTAGGATAGATGCTGTAGAGGTCTAAAAACTCAGGTATCAAATATGATATACTTGGAGTTATAGGGTCAAAACTGAATAGATACAGTTTTTAATAGAGTTAACACTGGAAATGATT